ATATATATATATATATAATTTTTCTGATGTACAAGCATCCTTGCATGACTGAGCCTACTTAACGGAAATTAAACCACTGGAATCCTGTCGCCTGCAGTTTGACATCGTCACCGCTTCCTAAACCGAGTGTGGCAGAGCCCCGCTGAGAGGTGTACTCGGCTGACTTCTTTTACTGGCTCATAATAAAAACATGCAGCCCTCTGCCTCAATGTCTGAGGTTATTTTGGAACAGTCTTATTGACACTGAGCTGCCATTGTTGGAATGAAAAAGGGATAGAGGGATTTGAAAGGAGATCCTCACATCACAGAGAGAGCGCTTGAACCTGCACGCACAAATGGGCAAACACTACAGGAAAACGAGAACATCTGAGCTCTAGGGATTTTAGTTGAATAGAGTATTTAACAAAAACTCAGATTTAAAGCAAGGGATTTTTTTTAAACTAAGAAGCTCTGAAGTTATCAGCATTAAACCTGGTCTAAAAAGTTTCAACTTCTCATTTTGAGAAGATTCAAAATGTACAGACATACGGATCCGCATCAAAGCATAATACCTTCAGACACTGCCCGATAAGGTTACAATTTTTAGGTTTTGGACAGCTAGTTCAGTGTGCTCAGATATAGTATGGGATAAATTACACATTCACGCCATTCAGTCCTGTAGCGCATAATGATTTGCTGTGCTACAGCTGAAGACATTAACTCCAAAGACAAAAATATAAATGATCATTTTCAGAACTAAACAATGGACATTTTATTGCTTTTTTTCATCTATGCTGCAGGCAGTGCTCAGTCTTTAGCAGAGTGTACCAACTGCTCTCAACACAAGAGGTTCACCATATTCAGCTGCTGACTTCAATCACAGAAGAGTACAAAAGACCCAGTTGGCTATCACTTGTTTTGTCTTAAATGGATTTTGTCTTTCACTCTGTTTGCACTGATGCACAAATGGTCTGATGAAACAAGACACCAGGTGTCAATGTGAATTGCAAAAATAACTGGTGTGTTTGACTTAGACTGTGTCTTGCCAAGATTTTGGCAAGATTTTGACATGGGAAGGACTCGAAAACAAGTTTTGTTGTCGCTCTGTTGGCAGAATCAACAAATGGAACTGGTTCTTTCAAACTGCTAATTTCTCATTTTAAGAAAAGTTTCAAAAATGGATTCAGTGACTCTTTTGCCATCATGTTGTCCTTGACATATACATATTACCGTTTTGCATTTTATTCAGCTTGTTGCATCCATGATTCAACTCAGAAAAACATAAAGCCATTTAAAACCTACATAATTTACTAATGCATAAAAATTAGTCCAGAACAGCTTGGGTTAATTTAGGTCAATTTCTGAACTGTTTTGTGAACCTGTTCAATGAATTCATTAAACTATTCATGGCTTACTTTTGCTTTGGCTCTGCATATTCAAGTGGGATACTAAAAGGTGTGTTAACACTGAAAAGATTACACTTAAGCTTTCAGATATACAGATTCTAGATGGGTCACTATATGATTAAGAATTGGTTTCAGGTTTAAAACAAAAACACACTAAAATCAGAATCAGCATAGTATTCGTGAAGCCTTTTGTTGTTGCTCCAATGACCTGCCAGTTGTGGGTTGCATGTTAATGTTCATCTGCTTGACAGGACAATATCCTCTCATTGGTCTGGGTCATGCATTAAAGAGCAGAAAAGCAATACATGACTATGAAATTATGGCGCTTGAACAAGCATTTGTGGATATATTTGACGGGATAAACAAAATCCTTTTGTCTCACCACAAAACATCATTAGCCGACATTTACCAATGTATTTGACCTAAATGACTTGATGATCCTGTCAGATAGAGACTTTTCATTGGATTAGACTTTGTGTTAACCTCCTCAAGAGAAATGTAAATGATGAGAACAAAACTTAATCTGAGGGTGACCTAGAATGTAACTTGAATACTGATTGAGTGTCAACTAACTCACAGCAGATTTATGACCTGTCATTTGATATTTAATGTATCTTGTGAAGGATTAGGTTGGTTGATTGTTTCTCTCTCTCTCTGAATAAGCAATATTCCAAAACTTTTGAGGGGAAAAAAGACATCTTGATATACTAGTGTCAAGATAAATGCCTCTTCTGGGAATAAAAGTTTAGTAGAGGTGACATAATGATTTTGTGACATGAGGACTAAACAAAATTCTCTATAATTTCCTCATACCCAAGGACAAACCTGTTTGATCCAAATAAAGGCTGTTCTTCACAGGTAAAAACAAAGCTACATCTAAACAAAATCTCATAAAGACTCTCATACGATCTGTTATGGAAAACCGACATGCATGGGAACCCCATGAAAAAAAAATCATAGCCTATATTTTTAATGAAACCAATCAGTTTAATACATACAATTAAAACTTGGCATAACAGAGGTCAGTGTGTCAGGTGAGGTACTTGTTCCCAGATACAACAGGCACATATTAAACTTGAATAAAGCCTACAGGTGCATAGAGTGATTTCCTGTTAGTTGCTAAGGTAAAAATAAATTAATAAATAAATAAACTCTCCTCATTTCAGGAAATATATGGATAGATTGACATAAAATTAACCATAGGATTTTTTTTTTCTAGAGTTTCCTACTTGAACTCAAAACTCAATTCTCATTACCTCCATACTACTGAAGGAAAGGACTCCAGAAGTTTACAAAAAGAGGTTTAAGTTGAAAAGTCATGTATAAAATGTGTTGATAGGCTTAAGGCTATTATATAGGATACATTAATTTCAGCCATAGTGTGCTAACCTGATTGGTAGCTTTGTAAAAGCCATAATGACATATTTCAGTGCTATAGACATTTGCGGTGGACCATAAGTGTCCGTTACTTTTGTAAATTGGGAACAGTGAGAAAGCAAATTACACCATCTAGTGGGTATACATAGAAGTACTGCAAATAACAGATACTGAATAATGGTTAAGTCGGAAAATTTTAAAACAGATGGTCAAATTTGGTGTTGTTGTAATGATATCTGATGCACATTTCTTACAGTGCAGCAAATGACTTTATTTATTGTTAAATTAAAAGAAGAAGAAGAAATGGAACAGCCACTCGGGAAATGACCACTCACCAAATGTCAAGAGTTTTTATTTACATTACATTTAGTAGACACTTTTATCCAAAGCGACTTACACATTTCTGTCTTGTTTTTTACACATCAATGTATTATGTAAAATAAATGAATTCATCACACAAATATATGATTACATCACACTGTAACAAAAAATCCTAAATTTATTTTAAAGTGCACCTATTATGAAAAGTTCATATTTTGGTTTTGGGATCCCCAACAGGTTGACATGCATGCGAGGTCAAAAAACACTTTCATTGTCTAATAACATGCTTTTTTTTTTTTTAACCTTATTTGCTCAACGACTCCCAAACGATTTGCTCAAGGATTCATTTTTCCAAACCCCTCCTTTGCGTGACGCTAATCTGCGGTGATTGGTCCGATTGGCCGATTTCCTCATGCCTAATGCCTGATAAAGCAGTGTATGTGAGGGCAGTGCTGCTTTGTGTACAGCGGCTCCAAAAGCCCCACCTAGTGGCAATGAATGAATTTGCATTTTCATTCAACCAACGCGAAAATACAAACAAGTGGGCGGGCAATATGCTAATGTTTCATGTTGACTCCAACATGAAACGGCTTTGGATTCGTTTTAAAGAAGACTCGTTTTAATGATTCAGAGTCGACTCTTTCGTTTGAGAGACAATAACTTTATACAAGGTGCACTTTCAGATTTAAAACTTTGCAGGATGTTTTCATTCACTTAGAGCTGTGTTACACACTGCATGAACGGTAATTTTCAAAAATCCATAATAGGGGCACTTTAAAAGCCAAACGTTTATAAAAAAAAACCTTCATAGCACACAACTGAAATACAATTGAAAACCCTTTTGGTTTGGTCATATCTTTGGACAACCCTTGAGTAACCCTTCTACCTGTGGGACAGCATGTGTGTTTTTAGATGATGGGACTGTGTGAAGGACTTCTGACACTGTGTGCACTGGAACGGCCTTTGACCGGTGTGAGTAACATAGTGTCTCTTCAATTTGGATGGTGCATTGAAGAATTTGAAGCAAATGTCACACTGGTGGAATTTCTTCATTTCCCCTTCAGGATATCTGTTTGTACAATTATGTGCATATAAGTTCCTAATCGTGCGGAAACTCTGACTACAGTCAGGACAAAGGGGGAGGTCATGTGGAGGTTTGATAAAGCATTCACCTGGATCCTCAATGTCCTCAAGCTCCACAACAACTTCTGGGAGTCTGGGATCATCAGGTTTCTGTTGATACTGACAAGAACTGGGCTCATAAGAATCAGGGACACACTGTGTCACAACAGTGTCAGAGTCCACAAAGACACAATCTTCAATATCATCCATGTGATGTGCCCATTTTTCCTCAGTTCTTGATTCGGGAGCACAATGACGGAGAGATGAGTCAGTTTTGGGTGGACAGTCACTCATCCTGCCAAAAGGCACAATGTCAGATGCCTTTTTCCCATCAAGCAAGATGTCAGTTTTATGTGTCAGACCCCAAGCTGATTTGTTGTTGCACCAGAAAACAACCTTGTTCTCAACATTCTCTAATGGACTAGTACTTTTTGACAAATATACACTTGAATCACTGCAGCCACCACTCATATTTTGAGACAGCATATCCTCTGCAAGCACATTTTGATCTTGTTGCACGGTTGACTTTTGTTTATTTGTTGAAGTGGTATCATTGTGGGCAGTTAGATATTTTGGAGAGGGTTTTAACTTTGACTTAGATGCTCGATTACAGGACACTCTGTTGTCTCTGTAGCTCTGGAGTGATGGTGTTCTCCGCTTGACAGGGACATTATGAATTTTCATGTGGACTTTTAGATGAGAGCGTTCTCTGAAGGCACGGCAGCATATGGAACACTGAAATGGCCTTTGATTTGTGTGAATAAGACCATGCCTTTTTAGTTTGGATGGAGCGCCAAATCGTTTATGGCACACAGGACAATCATAAACTCTTTTGTTTCCATCAGAATTCTTACTTTGCAACACCGTCACATTTACATCATTGTCCTCACTTTGTGTTGTGACACTGGATTCTTGTTTCTCCTCAGTTTCTAGGTTTTCCTCCATCCACTGGTCCTCTGAAGGTTTGGAAAAATATGCAGAACTCAGTCCAGTGTGAAGATCCAAACCGTTTTTATTTAGAAGGGAATCTTGCAAATATGCATCTGATTCACTGCAGTCACTACTAATAATTTGAGATGCCATATTCTCTATAACCATATTTTCATCTTGGTGCACCATTGACTTTTCTTTATCTGTTGATTTGGTATAGTCTTGGGCAGTTGGTTGTTTTGGAGAGGGTTTTAACCTTGACTTTGATGCTTGATTACAAGCGCATTTACATCCTTGTCCTCATTGTGTGTTGTGACACTGGCTTCTTGTCCATGCTCAGATCCTTGGTTTTCCTCCATCCACTGGCCTTCTGAAGGTTTGGAAGAATATGCAGAAATATGTCCAGTGTGACGATCCCAACCTCCTTCATTTAGAAGGGAATCTTGCAAATATACGCCTGAATCATTGCAGTCACCACTTATTTTTTGAGATGCCATATTCTCTGTGACCATATTTTCATCTTGGTGCACCATTGACTTTTCTTTATCTGTTGATTTGGTATAGTCTTGGGCAGTTGGTTGTTTTGGAGAGGGTTTTAACCTTGACTTTGATGCTTGATTACAAGGCACACTATTGTCTCTATAGCTCTGGAGTGATGGTGTTCTCCGCTTCTCATGGATATTGTGAGATCTGAAGTGTACTTTTAGATGAGAGCGTTCTCTGAAGGCACGACAGCATATGGAACACTGAAATGGCCTTTGATTTGTGTGAATAAGACAATGCCTTTTTAGTTTGGATGGAGCACCAAACCGTTTATGGCACACAAGGCAATCATAAACTCTTTTGTTTTCATTAGAATTATTTCTTTGCAACACCTTTGCATTTACATCCTTGTCCTCATTTTGTGTTGGGACGCTGGCTTCTTGTTCCTCCTCAGTTTCTTGGTTTTCCTCCATCCACTGACCCTCTGAGTGTTTGGAAGAATATGCAGAACTCTGTCCAGTGTGAAGATCCCAACCTCCTTTATTTAGAAGGGAATCTTGCAAATATACATCTGATTCACTGCAGTCACCACTAATAATTTGAGATGCCACATTCTCTGTAACCATATTTTCATCTGGGTGAACGGTTGACTGTTGTTTTTCTGTCGAACTAGCATTGTTTTGGACAGTTAGATATTTTGGAGAGGGTTTTAACCTTGACTTGGGTGTTTGATTACAGGGCACACTGTTGTCCTTATAGCTGTGGAGTGATCGTGTCCTCCTCTTCACAGGGTTGGTGTGAGTTCTGATGTGCACTTTTAGATGAGAGCGTTCTCTGAAGGCACGGCAGCATATGGAACACTGAAATGGCCTTTGATTTGTGTGAATAAGACAATGCCTTTTTAGTTCGGATGGAGCACCAAACCGTTTATGGCACAAAGGGCAATCATAAACTCTTTTGTTTACATTAGAATTCTTTCTTTGCAACACCTTCGCATTTACATCCTTGTCCTCATTGTGTGTTGTGACAATTTTTAGTTTGGATGGAGCACCAAACCGTTTATGGCACACAAGGCAATCATAAACTCTTTTGTTTTCATTAGAATTATTTCTTTGCAACACCTTTGCATTTACATCCTTGTCCTCATTTTGTGTTGGGACGCTGGCTTCTTGTTCCTCCTCAGTTTCTTGGTTTTCCTCCATCCACTGGCCTTCTGAAGGTTTGGAAGAATATGCAGAAATGAAGGCACGGCAGCATATGGAACACTGAAATGGCCTTTGATTTGTGTGAATAAGACAATGCCTTTTTAGTTTGGATGGAGCACCAAACCGTTTATGGCACACAGGGCAATCATAAACTCTTTTGTTTACATTAGAATTCTTTCTTTGTAACACCTTCGCATTTACATCCTTGTCCTCATTTTGTGTTGTGACGCTGGCTTCTTGTTCCTCCTCAGTTTCTTGGTTTTCCTCCATCCACTGACCCTCTGAGTGTTTGGAAGAATATGCAGAACTCTGTCCAGTGTGAAGATCCCAACCTCCTTTATTTAGAAGGAAATCTTGCAAATATACATTTGATTCACTGCAGTCACCACTAATAATTTGAGATGCCATATTCTCTGTAACCATATTTTGGTCTTGGTGCACTGTTGACTTTTCTTTATCTGTAGATCTGGTATAGTCTTGGGCAGTTAGATATTTTGGAGAGGGTTTTAACCTTGACTTGGGTGTTTGATTACAGGGCACACTGTTGTCCTTATAGCTGTGGAGTGATCGTGTCCTCCTCTTCACAGGGTTGGTGTGAGTTCTGATGTGCACTTTTAGATGAGAGCGTTCTCTGAAGGCACGGCAGCATATGGAACACTGAAATGGCCTCTGATTCGTGTGAATAAGACAATGCCTTTTTAGTACGGATGGAGCACCAAACCGTTTATGGCACACAGGGCAATCATAAACTCTTTTGTTTACATTAGAATTATTTCTTTGCAACACCTTCGTATTTACATCCTTGTCCTCATTTTGTGTTGTGACACTGGCTTCTTTTTCCTCCTCAGTTTCTTGGTTTTCCTCCATCCACTGGCCTTCTGAAGGTTTGGAAGAATATGCAGAAATCTGTCCAATATGACGAACCCAACCTCCTTCATTTAGAAGGGAATCTTGCAAATATACGCCTGAATCACTGCAGTCACCAATCGTTTTTTGAGAATCCATAACCATATTTTGATCTTTGTGAACTTTAGCAGAGTCTTCAGCTCCATCTTGTGAGGGTATTTGCACATCTTGTTCTTCAGATTTTGCAGCATTACTAAATGAAACTGTACAATCCTGTTCCAAATGACCAGCAATTATATTCTGACCCTTTTTTTTGTGGATCCTCACATGGCACTGCAAATGCCACCGATATCGAAATGATTTCAAGCACACGTGGCACTTAAATGGTCTGACATCTGTGTGGCTCAAAATATGTCTGGCAAGCTTAGAAGGATATGGAAAGTTCTTCAGACAGATGCTGCACTGATTCACACCTTTATGCGTGTGCTTAAGGTAAATTGGGCTGGAGGTTGTGATCTGCACTTCAGCATTTTTCAAAGTGTCAGAGCTTTTAATCTCTACGGTACTTGAATTTGACTTTATCAATTGGACGTTTTGGTTAAGCTTGCTTCGGCATTCAGGTTTTTCATGCTTTTTGGTCTCTAAAGAGTCTAATATCTGAGGTAAACACACATTACCACCATCTAGTCTGCAGTTATTTGTACATTCAAAAGCTCCAGGTGTTGGAGATTTGGCCCCATGCTTCTGCGGGACGCTACACAACCTAGAATTGCCGTTTCTTTTTTCTGTGTGTACCTTGAGATGTTTATGGAGATAATAGGCTTGCTTGAATGACTTTCTGCAGATTGTGCAAGTGTAAGCCTTGACGTCAAAATGAACAAACAGGTGTCGAGTTAGTTTTGAGGGGAAACTGAATTTCTTCAAGCATATTTCACACTGATATCCACTTTTCTTTTTGAGTTGAAGCGTACACATGCGATCAGAAGACTTGGATACTGGAAAGATCCTTTTTCTGGCAGTTGTGACAGGTGATGAAGGGTTGGTGTGAGATCTGAAGTGTACTTTTAGATGAGAGCGTTCTCTGAAGGCACGAAAGCATATGGAACACTGAAATGGCCTCTGATCCGTGTGAATAAGACAATGCCTTTTTAGTTTGGATGGAGCACCAAATCGTTTAAGGCACACAGGGCATTCATAAACTCTTTTGTTTCCATTACGATTCTTATTTTGCAACACCTTTGCATTAACATCATTGTCCTCACATTGTGTTTTGACAATGGCTTCATGTTCCTTCTCAAATTCTTGGTTTTTCTCCATCCACTGACCATCTGAAGATTTTGAGGAATATGCAGAAGTCAGTCCAGTGTGAAGATCCAAACCTCCTTCATCTAGAAGGGAAAGTTGCATCTGAGCTGACATCTGGCTTGAAATGTTAAGCATTCTCTTCACGCACTGCAAAGACAGAACAATTTCAGTGCATCCATTCTTAAGCACATCTAGCCTAATTCTTCAAATACTTTGGTTTTTAAAAGTGCAAAGTTATTTGTATTGTTGTCAACCTTTTATTTATCAATTTTGATGTCAAGACTGGAACACCTAGTTCTCAAGAAAAGCCTATCCATCACATGTAGGTTGTAAAAAGTATCTGTGCAGCCATTTGTGCTGTCCATTTTCAGTAATTTCAGACTTCTGCCACTCTAAGCCATTCATTTAATTGTGATCAGATCAGTGTTTTTTTTTTTTATGAAAATATAACCTGACCAAGCACTATCACAATATTCACTGGGGGAAAGAAAGAAAGAAAAGTAAGGAAATATGTAATTTAATAATTAAAATTATCCATGCTTTTAAAAGTGCAGAACCATGTTTTTGGCGTATTGCTCTAAGCCATTCATTTAATTGTGATCAGATCAGTGTTTTTTTTTTAATGAAAATATAACCTGACCAAGCACTATCACAATATTCACTGGGGAAAAGAAAGAAAGAAAGAAAGAAAAGTAAGGAAATATGTAATTTAATAATTAAAATTATCCATGCTTTTAAAAGTGCAGAACCATGTTTTTGGCGTATTGGTTACTAATTGATTAATTGGTTATTTGTATAACCACTGCACCGTTTTTTATTTATTTTTTACAATTACTATTAAACTATGGTTAGTGTAGCAAAACCATGGTTTATTTGTGGTTACCATGATTTTGGGGGTTTTATTTGTAGTAAACCCATAGTTGATTTTCGACAGACACAGACACACAGACAGACAGACAGACACAGACAGACAGACAGACAGACAGACAGACAGACACACACACACAGACAGACAGACAGACAGACAGACAGACAGAAACAACAGACACACACACACAGACAGACAGACAGACAGACAGACAGACAGACACAGACACACACACACAGACAGACAGACAGACAGACAGACAGACAGACAGACACACACGACATATATTTGTCAATAGTGAGTTAGAAGCAAATACTAATAAGTGTAACATTCACAGTGGGTGCACTAACACGAAAGTTAATTAATACATTTAAGATTAATGAAATGTAATGAAAGTACGAATGAATTTAGCAATACCTTCACCTTACCCGCGGGAATTTCGTGATGTTAAATCGAAAGACGATTTCCTCAATTTGTCATAATTTCGGACGTTTGTGTTAGAAACTGACAATAACAGGCTTCCGATGTAAATACATGAATACAAGGAACAATTCATTAACAACAGTTCTGTCCTCGCAAAGGTTCTTCTGCGAACAGACGCTACTTCTTCTTCTTCTTTCACGTTTTGTGGCGGTTGGCACCAGGTTAATGTGAACTTCCGCCACCTACTGGGATGGGGTGTGAAGTCCAGATAGAGGAGAAACACAAAACAAAAATCCTTTTAATCAAACCTGTCTCGCGAAATATTTGAACAGAAAGTTATAAATGCAATGCCAAAGTGCATTCTTGACCGTTTCTGTTTTGAAATAGATTCCACATCTAAACAGATTCTTTAATGTTAAGATGTCCATATTTCAAAAATTGTGAAAAGCTAAATTATTTCTCTATTATATGGTTTACAATGTAAGAGCAAATGTTCAACAGTAAATTTAGCAGTGACTCACTTTTCCCATAATATGCAGGAAATAGTTAGGGCTGAAAGGGCTTTGTGATTTGTAATTAAGGCAGTGTATTCCGTCATTAGTAATTATTTTATTTTATTTTAAATGTTTTGTTGACAACCTTAAAATTACAGACAGCTAATTCTCATAAACAGAGCTTCACCACTTGATGGCAGTGAAGCTGTATGGCAGGATCAAGGCACAGACATAAAAAGCAATGTAGTTAGTTCAGCTTTGTGTAACCATGCATAAGGTGAGTTTAGTTAGGCTAAATAAATGCAGTTGTATCCTTTGATATTCATCTCAGACATTGAATACAATTTTAAAACATCAAAATCATTTTTTAAAAAATACTTCTCGTAGGCAGCCTACACCGTGTAATTTCTTTAGTTTGCCGAAAATAATGTAAATCTTTAACCGTAAGGTATGTTATTTGCGATATTTAAGGTAGGCTATGTTTTTAAAGTTCAGAGTATTATAATGGAATACTGCTTTTAAAAAATGTCCTGTTTTTAAACCACCCTCAAAATAAGGGGTGCATATTTCAAAGAAGTCACACGCAAGAAGAGCACAGTTTGTGCAACCACCCCATCACCGCGCGCTTGTCCATGCAATTAGCCCTTATCTGTAAGCAGTTTAATTTTCTGCGACATGGCGCGAGCGGCTCGGGCCTGATGGATGTGACATTAACGGGAGATGAAGCTGGGGAGATTGGACGCTGCAGTCACATAGTGGCATTTGTCACTGCCCCGGTCATGCAGATTGCGCCAGCACCGGCCACTGACTAAGATTAATGACGACGGCTCTCAGTCTTTGTTTCTCTCTGTGCTTGTGTTGAGCTCGAGCCTAAATACCATTCACACACACCTGGGCTTTATGATTAGACCTCATATATACATACAGACTGTACCAGAGTCATCATTATTTCCTGGTAATTACATTAAAATGCAGTGGATCCCATTTATTAATTTAAATTCAAGTCATGTCATTAGTGGTGCTTGGTAAGGAAACCAACACTATTACATGTTTGGGGATTTTTCAAAATAGGTGTGCTATTAGCCTACTAGCCTAGTAGGCATATACTTTTAGACTTTTCACAGACTGCAATGACGCATTTCCGCAATAAATATCGTTCAGTTTGTTTATTATACATTTTATGTATATTTCTAACACTGTTTTTGGTACAGTATTTTATTCTGACATTAAATTCCAAAAAACAAACAAAAAAAACTATCACTTCAAAATCTTTCTTTGCTGCAATCTGTCTATTTTTCCTCTTTTGGAAAGTGGTGAAAACGCACTAGGGGATGTTCTATTTTGCTGTTGGAGTAGGCCTAAATGGGAAAATAAAAATTATATTTATTATGGTTTCCATGTACCGCCATAGAAATTTACTTCCACACTCCAGACCAAAATGTGAAAATGGTCCATAATAAAATGAGTAAAATTATCCTGTATTTTTACACACTAAACAGAGGAGATATATCTAAGGACTGGAATCATAGAGGCTCAGATATGGGTTAGTAACCAACCTAGAAACCACCAAGAACATCCTAGCAACCACCCAGCCCACCCTGGTAACCACACAGCAACATAGTGGCAACCATTCCCAAACCCACAGCATTGTGGTGGTGAGTTTTGCACGGTCATGCACCGCTTTCATTTTCTAAAATGTGAAAAATCTAGTTTTCGTGCAGTTGTTGTTGTTATTATTATTTAGATTTATTTGCATTTATTTTGCTCTCTTTTTTACCCTATAGCCTGCACACACATACACACACCGCATACTAGCACCTGCAGACCTATATCATTTTTGAAGTGGCAAAAGCAAGCTGATAAATGGGGACCAAGGGATGTCTACCGATTAAACAAAAATGCAATTCTTGGAATCTCTTACAAAAACACTGCGTAGAATCATGAAAGGAATTCCTAAGAAGTATACGAGACCTCCACGTTTCCCCTCGGTTGTAAGAAGGGAGAGAGCGGTAACCCCAAACTGGCTGCACGGCTGCACAGAAAATGGTTTTCCTTGACAAATGAGGTGATGCGGACCAGGCTCAGATGGATGGGGGTTTGGGCTGGTTGTATCAGGGCTCTTGGGATGCTGGGTATTTACTCAGTCATTCATCATCCTCTGGCACATCCACTTATACAGGATCTGCACCACACACCCATACTGATGTAATTCTCCACATGGAGAGCTGAATTACCATAGCCTGTCCTCAGTGTGTGTGTACGGATATGTTATTGTGAAGCGTGGAACAATTTTCTGGATGTGCATCTGTGCACTTTTATGTATCTGTGAACCTCAAAATGTAGCAACACATTCTAATGGCAAATCTAACTGCTTTACGTTTTGGTAAATTGGTGGCTAATACGTATGATCTCATTCATACGTTTTCCTATGATCATAAGGTCAGGTTATTCCATGAGTGCATTTATTCTAACATGTACCCTTGATGGTGTGAATTGGACAGGACAGTTGTACCACCCTGACAACTTTGACCTAATGTCCTAACACTTTTACAATTCATTTTAATTAAGAAATGATAAACATTTCATCATGAAAGAGATTAAAGCTGCAGTCTGTAACTTTTATTTGGTTAAAAATGATCCGAAATCAATATTTGAGCAAGTACATAACCAGCCAGTGTTCAAAACTATTGCCTTACTTTAGCCCGATTCACAACGGTTAGCTTATAATAATGTTTTCTAATTTGAGTGGTACGGGTAGGTTTTCGCGGGAAATTCGAGCATGCTGCCGTGTCATTACGTCATGTCTGTAAACAAAGAAGTAGAAACACATGTGAAAGAAATTAAATTATATTGCAGTTTTAAATGTGCTTTTGATAACAGATAGCCTGGGATTACACAATATTTGTATTTTAAAGACAACCAGTTCGAAGGGAGCGTAATTTGCTTTGCTAGTACGGTGACTGCCACACATACTCCTCAAAATATTAGATTCATCCGCGCTGGAGCCGTGCCGGCACACAACCCACGCAAGGAAGATAATTCCGCAAACAGCTGCAATTGCAGGTTTTCAAGCAGAGATGGCGACAAAGAGGCAAAACTTACGGACTGCAGCGTTAAGTCATGTTTTTGCATGTAAGTCACACCACATGACTTTGTTGGTTGCACCACATGACAGTGATTTGGCGGACAACAGTTTTTCCAATTTTAATAGTATTTTAAACGAAACTGGTTTGCTGTTAATGCTTTTCACATTTATATGCTTTCGTACAACCCGCTTACACCCCGCTGACAGATTTTGGTTTGGACCTTCATTCTAACTTTTTTTTTCTAAAATTAAATCCAGCGGTTTTGTAGGAATCACATCGTACAAATTCATTAAAAAAAATTGCCACCTTGTAAAATTATTACGTTTTCTCATTAGATCGGGTTATTCCATGTATTTGTTCTAATATGTGTCCATGATGTTGTAAATTGGACAGGGCAGTTGGATCAACCTGACAATTTTAACTTTATGTCCTAAAAACCATTACAATTCATTTATAATTTATAAATTAAAACATTTTCATCATACAAGTTTAAGTAATTTTTTTCATAATAGTTGCACCACATGACTTTGTTGGTCGCACCTCATGACATTTATACTACTTACTAGGGTTTTTCTCATTCATATGTTTTTGTAAAACCCACTAACGCTCCACTGATGCTTTTTTTTTTCTTCTAAAAATCAAATCATTCCATATTAATCACATTGTATGAATTAATACAAAATCGCCACCTTGTAAAATAGTTACATTTTCTCATACTGTCGGGATATTCCATGTATTAATTCTATAGTGTAAATCGATTCAGCTGTCATAATTTTATTTTCAAGTAGGCAAGAAACCTCCGAAAACTGCAAGCTCTTAATGAGCACATCCCATGGTGCTTATTTTAATTTGAACAGCTTTGATCCTGGTCTCCAGTCATCTATGAACTAGCATTGTCATTCATTCATTCCTCGAAGCTGTTCTGAAATTACAGAAGCTCACATCGTCCAAATGTTGAGCATCGATCTGCCCTTGCTGTCCGTCTGTAACTCCCTTCCCTATTTGCTTATACACCTCTTGCAATGCCAAACATCTCTGCATGGACACCATATCCCATCATCCTCCTGATGCTAGCTCTTTCTCAGCATGGACTCCGACCAGGGCACTCATGCGTGAGTGACATTTGCTCCAGCTGAACATTGGAGTTTCAATCAAACCACATGGGTCCTGGGTGTAGTTTGTTCTTCAATACAGTATGGAGTGAAAAGACAATATTTACCCCCACATGGAAATCCCATGTGGATTCACCCTCGGCCGGTTCGTGAGTACCAACTGTCTGCCCCGGAATCCCAGGGTGCACCGGGAACAGGCTGGTAATGTGGCAGAGGGTGATGATGCAAGCAGCTCAGAGCTCCCTGGGGGACATGAATGTTGATTAAACATGTGCTCAGCCTTGGCTATTGAGCAATGGGACGTGGAACAAATGTCAAACGTTTGTTAATTTCTGTGCAGCAGAGGACTTATCAGTGGAGGGGGTGGAACCCACACCAATGAGGCATGACCCCAATAAGAAACCGATTGGCCGGCCAGACAAGATCAATCTTCTAGAATCAATTTTGAGGAAAGAACAATGTTTCTTG